ACACTCTTGTGAGACACTCTTGTAGGACACTCTTGTGGGACACTCTTCTGGGACACTCTTGTAGGAAACTCTTGTGAGTCACTCTTGTAGGACACTCTTGTAGGACACTCTTGTGGGTCACTCTTGTAGGAAGCTCTTGTGGGGCAGGGGCACTCTTCTGGGACACTCTTGTGTGAGACACTCTCGTAGGAAACACTTGTGGGTCACTCTTGTAGGACACTCTTGTGAAGCACTCTTACAGGACACTCTTGTGGGGCACTCTTGTGGGACACTCTTGTAGGACACTCTTGTGGGACACTCTTGTAGGACACTCTTGCAGGACACTCTTGTGAGACACTCTTGTGGGACACTCTTGTAGGACACTCTTGTAGGACACTCTTGTGGGTCACTCTTGTAGGAAACTCTTGTGGAACACTCTTACAGTACACTCTTGTGGGACACTCTTACGGGACACTCTTGTAGGACACTCTTGTGGGACACTCTTAAAGGACACTCTTGCAGGTCACTCTTATGGGACACTCTCTTGTGGGAGACTCTTGTGACACTTGTGGGACACTCTTGTGGGACACTCTTGTGGGACACTCTTGTAGGACACTCTTGTGGGTCACTCTTACACGACACTCTTGTAGGACACTTCTTGTGGGACACTCTTATAGGACACTCTTGTGGGTCACTCTTATGGGACACTCTTGTCGGACATTCTTGTGGGACACTCTTGTGAGACTCTCTTGTAGGACACTCTTAAGGGACACTCTTGTGAGACACTCTTGTGGGACACTGTTGCGGGACACTCTTGTGGGACACTCTTGTAGGAAACTCTTGTGGGATAAAGGAGGTTCACAAAGTGCTGCGCCGGCCACGAAATCTGCACATGGAGGTTCACAAAGTGCTGCGCCTGCCACGACATCGGCGCATGGAGGTTCACAAAGTGCTGTGCCTGCCACGAAATCTGCACATGGAGGTTCACAAAGTCCTGTGCCTGCCACGACATCGGCGCATGGAGGTTCACAAAGCGCTGCGCCTGCCACGAAATCTGCACATGGAGGCTCACAAAGTGCTGTGCCTGCCACGAAATCTGCACATGAAGGTTCACAAAGTGCTGTGCCTGCCACGACATCGGCACATGGAGGTTCACAAAGTGCTGTGCCTGCCACGAAATCTGCACATGGAGGTGCACAAAGTACTGTGCCTGCCACGAAATCAGCACGTGGAGGTTCACAAAGTGCTGTGCCTGCCACGAAATCTGCACATGGAGGTTCACAAAGTGCTGCGCCTGCCACGAAATCTGCACATGGAGGTTCACAAAGTGCTGTGTCTGCCACGAAAAGTGACAATATCATCTCATGTGAGCTTCAACAAAATGTACACCACATCCCACGTTTGGAATGATTTCGCCCCGTGCTGAGCACACTCCCATCCACCAAAATCGCCATTTCACCTGAGACTTGTCACGAAAACAGAGCTTCGATGCCACACCCTGCAACGCAAATCCCAAGGCACGGCCACATCCAACACCCCAAAAACGCGCCTCTCCTGACGCTAATCCCAATGGAACTGCGCAGCAACCTGCGGATCTCACAAACACCTGCGCCTGTGCAGCGAAATGCGTCACGTTTCTTGCGCGACATGTCATTGTCATGCGAATCACAATGGAATAGCGGCGCAAGCTGACACGTGACACATCCATGAAAAGTCACTTGCAAAAGCTTCCCCCAATGGCAGCGCCTTAGCGTTCTACTGCCAACGGTTGCAAGCACTTGCGGTCGGTTGCGGACGGTTGCAAACGGTTGCGAACGGTTGCGGACGGTTTACAAACCACGGGTCGCGAACAAGACTCTACCCCCAGACCCCCAGAGTTAAACGAGAACCCTTCGCCACGCATTCGGGAAAAGAAAAAACGGTTTAAACGAAGAAGGACAAAAAACAACACAGAAAGGTCTAGAGTCCAAATAAAGGAAAAACATGAGAAATTGAGAAGGTTTGCAAGACAAAAGCCAGCACGTCACAAACATCTACTCGTTCCAACAGGAAGACTTTGCATGCAAACACCAAAGGCAAACTTCTCCATAGGCTGAAACTTCAACCCGTAGTGTTCCCGGAAAGGCATAGACCCTCATCTACTCACTCGACAAGGAATGCATACAAACGCCAAAACAAACGCCTAGCGGCTAGCGCATAGAGACGCAAACGTTCCCACAATGCATCTATCCAAGCATTCGTCCCTCCATCCATCCATCCGTCCGTCCGTCCTTCCGTCCCTCCGTCCGTCCGTCCATCTGTCCATCCATCCCACCCCCCAGCAACAATGACTTGCGTCACCAGCATCACCAGCTCGGCCAAACCATATCAGACCATGCCCCTGATCCAGTTAGAGTTCGAGTTCAAATTGGAAGCTGCAGGAGAAGGGTGGAAAAGAAGTGAAGCACAGTGAAGCCATAAGCCAAGCCCAAAAACCCTAAGGAAGCGCGAGACCCAACCCAAGCATCATTTCTACACCACTCCTCGAAGACAAGCTCAGACGGAAGCCGAACCCAAAGAATGAAACCGCAGCCCATCCTGACAAACCCCAAAGGAGTGAAGCACTAAGCAGAAGTAAAGCCAAGCCCAAGCAAGCCAAACCCAAAGAAACTGAAGCGTTAAGCCAAGCAACCCTACCCCAGCAAGAAAAGCCAAAAGAAACCATAAGAAACCAAAGAAGTCAAGCCCTCAGCCAAGCCTAAAAATCCACAACAATACAAAAAAAGAAGTCAGACCCGCACTCCACAGCGCTCCGTCCCAACCACCCCCAACATGACTCACTTCCAGGGAAACCCGACGCCAAAGCCAAAGAAGCAGAAACCACAAGCGCTACCCGAACACCCCAAACATCACTCACCTACTAGTTCGAATTCGAGGCCTTCTGTCCGTCCAGGGTTGAGTTCTAACTGTTCCCGTTTGATTTCGATTTCGAGTGGACCACACTACGAACTCGGCCCACATTTTAACCCATGTCATTCCCCCGATAACTCACTTCGTTTCAGCCTAAGGCCTAGCCTGCCGGCTGGCTCTCGTAACAACAGCAAAAAAGAAAGAAAACATGAAAAAGCAATGAAAATTAAATCATCCTTCTTCGCAATAGTATTAAGCACGGGCAATTAAAACCAAGACCCACACTTGGGCTTTGAAAGCTGAAGGGGCAGTAGTTCAGTTCACGCATTGCTCCAAAATCAACCAAATATTTCTCGAACAGGTGCTGCCTGGGGTGTCGTAGCAGGGCTGCAACACGGCCGTCGCTGAAGCAAACCTTCCATGCTGAAGCAAACCGTTCACAATTCACAGCACCATGAAGATAGACGGTCAGTGGATTGTGTTCTTCCCTTCACCCTAGCTGGCAAGTGGCAAGTCTTATGTTCATGTTAATGCTCTCACCTTCTGATTGACACTTGACAAGTGTTGGATTCACAAGTTTGCCTGGAAACACACCAGTCAGAACTGTGCCCAGAATGATTTCTCAATATTCGACAATATTCACTGAATCACTTGCAGGCTGCGCTGGGTCAATGTGGTGTCTTTGTTCATTATTGTCCAAGCATTGAACCTTTGTTAAACTTTCATTGTGATGACTAGTTCAGCTTCCCCGGATTCTAAACCCACCATCCACCTGGTGAAAACGGCAGTAAAGACCTCGTCGGATCCGACGATTGGTTAGCACATCAAGCGAGAGTATCACTGTTACAGTTACGATCAGTAACATACTCCAATACGTAGGTGTTGGTGTCAAATAGATTTAATAGCTTGACCTTGAAGTAGGCGAAAAGACACCACAGTAAGCCGAGTGTCCAACTGACGCTTTGCTTCTCCACTTTCACTCGAAAGCGCTTCAAGTCTCAGTGAAGGCTTTTTCAGAGCAATGCAAACAGGGAGAAGCACTGGATACTACAAAATCCGTCAAACACAGTCTTGTTTCAGGATCTGTTCCTAGTTCCTAGCGTCTCACTACTTCGGCTGTTCCGCCCATCACTTCACACGGTCTGGGCTATGACAGTTTGTGAAGAGGTAGGCAATCTCTCCCGACCTCAACAAGTTGAGGATTAGGAAATTATGTGTCACCTTCTCTTGCTTGGAATATTTTTGTAGGCCCCGTAGACAAAAAACAACTTGCGATATGCTTGCAAACCACACGTTCCTAACTGATGTGTCCTGTAGATGCAATATCGACAAACACATCCTGAGGCTGCAGCACTACGCTATGCTGATCTGTAAGCCAAAGACGGAATCGCTGCACGTTCATCTGACAGACCAGGCACGTGCAAGGATCTTTCTATTGCTGTACTTTCTATGATCTGAATCTAGAATAAATTATGCTGGAAAAAACTATGTATACACTACTTGGTGTTCTATGGTGTTGTCAGGTAAGGATCCGCCCTTCTCATCGCTTGTCCACATTGTCTTGTCAGTTACCTAAAAACTTAAAACACCTTTAAAAACCTCCTATAGCCTATGGAGGCTCACTGTAGTCAATAACAAATACTGTGTTTTTGGTTGTTGCAACTACATTTTCATGCTGCAAGGTTTGGAGCCATTGATGTCGATACAGCGGGTGGTATTTGTATGGTAGTTGAAAAGTAGCTGGCTTGATGGGCGATCGAACTTGCTCATAATCTCCCTAGCGGCCTCAACGCCGCTGCCGTCGCTTGTCTTTGCCGCCGGTGGCCATACAAAAGGAAGCTTCTCTGGCTGAACCTCAGCATGTTCAACATGTGTAACATGAACGTCAAAAGCTTGGAACGCTTTCCAGGCTATCCATAGTATCTGCAGGCTTGTTCCTGGTTGTTTGTAGTGCAAATCTACTTTTGGCTGATTGATGCAGTTTCTTATCGCCGACATGTCACTTTCTTCCAAATCACAAATCAGCCATCAGCGAGCCTTAGCCCTGTCGAGTCCCACTGTCTTACCCGCAAAAACAAAGCGATTGTTGATGATCTCATGACGCACCCGTCATGGCTGTAAGCACTTTGTGGGCGATGATGTCCCGACCGCATCTTCGGTTTCCAAGCGGGACTCCAAGAGAAGGGCTGCCAGGATTCGACCTCTCCTGGTGTCACATTCAAGCTGACACCCTCAGACTTGCCATGTCTTCGCTTCTTTGCTACTCCAAACAACTACAGAAATAGAGCCATTCTCCACTTGCTGGGCCAAACTCACTCCAGCAAGGCAGCATGCCGACCTTCTGCAGGCAGTGGCACCAACAAGTTCTTCAGAATGTCTCCTCTCCTGCGATCTTCGGAATTGTCAGATTGATAGATGGCTTAGATGGACGTAATGAGAAAGCTACAACCGTCACAGCCTCTTTCGGCCTTCAGTCTTGCCCCAAGAAAATCCAAGAACGCGCTACTTGTAATAAAAAAGGAATGTCTAACAGTCTTAGTGTCGTGATTTTTTCTGACTGCTGCTACTTCAGAGTCTACTACTACTACTACCACCGCATACTACATACTACCACTTATTGCTGTGGAGAATAAACATGCTTTCCTTTACGAAAGGCAACTGTTTGCCATCTTTGGGATCCGGCTACTTACAAATCGCCTGGCTGGCCAGGGCGACGAAGACAAGACCTAGGCCAGTGGTGATGCGGAGCCGATTTTGGACCCAACACAAAACCAACTCAACATGTTTAATGAAAAACCACCCGAATATATATATATATATATAATTATGTTAGATTAGATCATGTCATATAAGATTTTCTTTCTGAGTGCATCATTTTTTGAGACACCGCCTCACAGAATCATCAATGACAGTGATTGAGGCAATGAAGCTGCCATATCGTTCACTCAGGTGAAAACGTCAGTGGAACCAAAATACAACAAATCCTGGCAGTGGCAAAAGAGCCCGTGGACGCACGTCCATTTGATCTAATCAAGGGTGCAAACCGCGTCCTACCAAAGGACAAAAAAGGACCGTCGTGGTCCAAAGGCGTCAGCGCGCCCGTTTCTCCTAGGCTCCAGAGCTCGAGCCCCTCCGCTGTGGAAAGGGGGTTAATCCAAAAAGGTCAACATGAACCTCATGCTCACATTGGTACACCTCCCTGACCTTTTTGGTCGTCAAGGTCCCAAGGCCAGTTGTGCTTGGCCGCGAGTCCTCTCAGGGTGTCCACGAAGTTGGCCTGCATCTCGCGCCATTTCTTCTCCAAAGCTCTCTTGTGGATCTTTCTCCCTGCTTCGAACTTGTCGTCATGAACCAATCGCCAGAACTGCTTCTGCGAAAAGAACTGCAAGATCGTCTTGCGGGCTCCGAACTTGGCGAGGGAGTCTCCAAGCTGTGCCAATCCATTCACCCATCGAAGCTCTGTTCCAGCTCGAAGCGCTTGATTCACCGCCAAGGTGAGCTCATATCCGGCTCTTGAATCTCTCAGTCCATGCAAGGATGAAAGGTTCCGGGTCATCGCGTCATAGATGCCGCGGGAGTCCATCACAACCGCTCCAGCCACCGTCTTCACGGCGTCGTGGATCTTGTTTCGCTGGATCTTCGCTCCAGCAAACTCTGCAAGCAGCAACCTGATCTGGTAGTTCTGATCCTCTCCCATGGTGATTGCTTGAACTTCTGCTCCATTCGATCCCAGGCGCTGGCGCGGAGTCTTTCCGCTCTTCCATTGCACCAAAGCCACTTGGACTTCTTCTCCAATTGAAGTGCTTGGCGGGGAGCCACACCAGACAAAATGCCAGCCGTGCTGCTCCGATCCGGTCGGTTATGTTGTGATGCGTCAGCCCATGTGATCACTGCCAGGTCATACACGGACTTGATGTTCCAAGTCGACGGAAACAGCAATCCCTGACCGCTCTCGCGCTTCATCTCCCGGGTGAGGCGGTTCACCTTGTAGAGAGACTCAAATGGTCGCCCGGTTAATCTCGCTCAACAGCAGTGAAGCTTCTGCAAGGTACTGCGGGCCAGTCTGCGTAGCCCTCCAGCTCACAGTTCCAAGCGCTCCTCTCATCGCTGAAAGCTCAGCCGCGTTGAGAGGTGTCTTTCGAGCCTTCTCCTTGTCAATCTCCACTTCTTCAAGCCATCTCTTGGAGCACTTCTCCTGGTTCAAGACAATGCTCATGTCCTTCATCTGGCGGATGTTGCAACCAGCGAACTCAAATTCATTCTCTTCCCACTTGCCCCATCGAAATGCTTCGGCAAGTGCTTTCTCTCGGGACTGGTAGTGCTCGGAGTCCACCAATCCAGCTAGCAGGAAGTCATCAACATGGATACCTGCCAGTCCATGAATCGATGATGAACCATCTTCTTCAGCATGTAGGAGCACAAAGCAACATTTGTCCCCAAGGAGCTGAGTCCATCCCGTTTCTCGCATCACCTGGACGCACCTCTCGTACCACTTTCGTGGTGCATGCGCCAGGCCGTATAGAAAGCCTCGCGCACTCGAAGTGCTCGTTGATGGCCAGGATCTGCTCCAAACATAGCTGCCAACTCCGGCGGTGCCATGACATTCAACTCCTCATCTTCCAAGCTTATGCCAGTCTGCAAAAATGCGCTCGTCACATCGCTGGCCTTGACCTTCATCTTCAGGGCTGCAGCTAACGTCAAAATGACGTTGCGACCGACCTTGGACATGGTCGGTGAGGCTGTGGCCACTTCGGTCAAATTGTGTGCCATAAAGTCTAAGACCACAAGGCGAGCCTTAGCCGTTCCATCGCCCTTCCTCGTGAGCACCCATCGCATTCTCATCAGCTTGTTGGCGTCGAGGTCCTTGTTCTCCTTGGTCGTGAGATTCCTCAAGGCCTTGCTGATGACAACCTGGGACAACTCTTTGGCCATCGCCAAATCGAACTCTTTCTTCTCAGCCATCGACAGGGTGTGCCACTCCACCTACATCTTCTTGCTCAGCCAAACTGTTCCACGATGTCGATCTTTGTTCTTGGCAAGCCATTCAAAGTCCTTCTCGTCAACCTCCAAGGTGAAGGAAACAAAAGTCTCTTCCTTCTTTGGCTTTTCCACCGCTGCTCGCCGGGATCGGCGATTTGGCTTCTTCTCCACCAGCATGAGCTCTTCTGAGGATTCTGATCGCGCCGAAGACGAGGATGATGAGCTGCTCTCAGACTCTTCGCCATCGTCTGCCTCCACTGGTGCCTTCTTGCCCTCGTAGAGGTCGTACATGAAGGTCTGTCCATCTCTGTCCTGATGATGTCCATCGTGTCCACCAGGAAGATCACAATCAAGTACAGGACATCGATTTGCTCCGGATTCACCTCGCAAGGGTGTTCCATCCAGGACATTTGGACCAACCGTCCTCAGAGCCTCATTGAGGTCCGTTGCCATAGAGCTCGGTTGTGATGGGCCAGGTCGATCAGATGGGTCTTCCAACTCCTCTTCAGCTTTTCGTTTCTCGCCCTTCTCTTTATCTGACTCGCAGTCTCTTTGGAGTGCGCTGCGTCTCAGAAATCAACTCAAAGAAGGTCTCGCCAGTCCATCGATCCTGCAAGGTCTTCTGCTGGTCCACAGTACTCTTCAATCGTCACCTCATCACCGCCAGCGATCGGTCGAATGACCGTCTTGCGATCTCCCGCGAGTTCCTCCAAATCCACAGGACATGATGTCGCCCTCGAAGGATTGAACAATGCAAGCCGTGGAAGTTCGTGTACTCGAACCAAAAATCTCTTGCCATCTTTTTCTCGCAGTGCCCAAGTGTCGTTTCCAACTCGTTCAGGTCCAGGTTCTTGGTGGATGGTAGCTGGTCCAAGATCATGAACTTGTTGTGCCTCGCTATACACCAGCCACGTCGAGGTAGTACCGTCCTTGGAATGATCTCATGAGAGCCTCCAAGGTCACAGGTGCCCGATAGATGGTCGTGCCCTCCAAAGTCGCATCCAGTTGTTCGCGCTAAGCAAAAACTGGACGGATCTGGTTCAGCTTGGCCCTGATCAAGGTCGCCCCAGAAACAAGCCATGCCGTTGATCCCTCCATCAAAACCAGTCTCAAGGGTCCTGACCAACCACCTTTGACCTTTCCAGGTCGCACTTTCTGTCGCCAAACCATGACCAGTTGACCAGGTTTGTAGGAGCTTGATTTCTGCCCATAGCATTCGCCAGCTTGCAAAATCGGTCGCCAGCTCGCTCTCTCTCGAAGGCAATTTTGGCTTTCTCGCGCTCCTTCACCAGGTTGTCAAAGGCCTTCCGAGGCTCAATGCCCTTCAAAAGCAACTGAGGTCATCAACCATTTCGTCAAGCTCTCAACGATGTTTTGACTCTTCGGCTCCCATGCACCACTCTCATAGCGAGCAAGGTGATCCACCATGGTCAAACCTGTCGCTCGGTCACGCCACAAAATCATCTTATGCTTGACACCATCTTTCTCCTCATACTCAAAGACATCGGTGCCAATCTGCTCGAATGGGTTTGGAGTCTCATTGGTTCCTGCAGGAGGTCGAGGTCGAGGTTTTGATGCCTCTTTGCACTCGGGACATTCAAGGTTTGCAGCAAGTTCAAGAGCCCAACCTGGTGACCCTCTAGCCTTCAACAGTTGAACCAGGTTGGCACGATGAACTCGAAGCATCAGCTGTTTCACAGCCTCCAGGTGTTTGCCCTTGGGAGCCTCTCCAGCGTCGATTCGCTTCCGGCTCAAAGCAAGGATCTCATGTTCTGGTAGGTGTTGAAGTTCATCCTCCACCAGTCCAGGAAGTTCAGATCGGCGGACATCATCAAGTAGTGCCGCCATCGTAGATCCAGGACGTTGCCCTTCGGGTAGTCGCCGAGATAGAATCTGGTCTTGATCATACATCACCTGGAAGATGTGCTTCTCAACGTCCTTCTCCAATGAACTTACCTGTTGCTGCCAAGCGTGCTTCATGCCCTTCAGAATCTCCTTGCACATTCGTTGAGGGTAATACGAAGATGCTTGTGCAGCCATGCCTCGACATTCTGCATGTTCATGAGACCTGTCACATCTTTTATTCAAGGTCAGCCATAGCTCTCGACTGGAAGTGAGAATCGTCCATGCTTTTCTCAAGGGAGTGCCCTGCCACTGTAGCCCATATGCACAGCCGTCGATCCGGATCCAGTAGGGACCTCGTCCATGACGTCTCAACATCTTTGTCAATCGATCGATGGCTCGGGATCTCCAACCAGCAGCAGCAGTTGTTGGCCATTCCCATGCTACATCACCTCCAGAAGCCAGAACATGGTCTAAGGAAGCCGAGATCTCATCGCACCGGCGTAGGTCATTGCCCCGTCGCTTCAGGAACTTGTCCATCTCTTCCGGACTGCGCTCTGTCAGGTTCTGCAGCGCGGAAAGGCGAGTGCATCGAAAGGAAACCCAGGCCAGCCGTGGCTTCGCCGTCTTGATGGTTTGATCGAGCTTGCTCGTTCCCTTTCGGGCATCCAGGTCATAGCCGCTGAGGTAGTTAATCCGCTGGCATTGGAAACCAGCCTCTTCAAAGGTCTTGGTCAGCAGGCTGTCCTTCGAGCAGGCAATCTCCATCAAGTCGACCTGAGGACTCGTCATGTTGACTAACTCTCGCACTGGTTCCATCACGGAGACAGTCATGGCTGCCGCTATGGCCAGCCTCTTGGCCAACGATGGCCGTACCTGCTTCTTGCGCACGTTGTTCACGGCCTCGAACTCCTCATTCAAGTAGGATGGAGCCGCTCCAGCCGCCACTGAACTTGTACAGGCGCACGTCAAGCAAGTAGCAGGGTTCGTAGTGCTGTCGTCAATCGTAGTGTCTGTTGCAGGAGCAATCTCCTGTGCTTGTTGTGAGTTGCGTGTTGGACTCATAGTTGATGTTGTAGTATTGGCGCCATCTGCAGCGTCCAGCCGCTGTCGGCACATTCCGGCCTTCATCCTGGCTCGTAGTCCGCTCAGCGCATCCCAA